TTGAGGCTTCGGCCGCAAGTCCCTATGTCCAATTTACTGAATAAAACCCTAGGCCCAAAAGAGGCTAGTTGAATATCAAAAAAAAAAAAATAAATGCTATATGTTTGATATGTATAACATTTTGCGCAGTAATCATTCAACCAATCAGATCGCAGCTTTCTTATTAATTTGGTTATCAGATTTGATCTTGTAATTCTGTGATTGAAAATGGATGATCTATACCTCATTAGAACCATCTCAGTGAGCTGATTCGAATGGTAGTAGTTTCATCGAATTCTGTCCAGTGGTTCAAGAGTTATGGTCATTTTTGTATATTAACAATATAAAGCAAAAATCCAAGTTAGATATAAATAAAATATAATACAGAATTCTAGTAGGTTTATATTGGCAAAAAATATAAGTGAAATATTGTAAAAAATTTTGTATACTGAAAATCTTTCAAAATAATTGTAATTGACATAAATTCTTTCAAAATAAAAAAATTTTACAATATTGTGAAATAATTAAAAAATTTTTGCAATATTGTGAAATAATCAAAAAAAATTTGCAATAATATGAAATAATTAGAAAATTTTTGCAATTATGTGAAACAATTAGAAAAATTTCACAATAATATGAAATAATCAGAAAATTTTTACAATGTAAAATAATTAAAAAAATTTTGCAATATTGTAAAATAATTAAAAAAAATTTACTATTACAAAATAATTAAAAAAATTTTAAAAATATTTATTAATTTATTTATTTTTTAATTATTATTTATTTAATATAATTTTTTATTCAATTTTTGTTAAATAATAATTACATAATAATTACATAATAAAAAAACTATATTATATATCCTGGTCCCTATTAAACCTTTCTAGCAAAGCACAAGACCTATAAAAAAAAAGCAAAAATTAATAATAATACAAAAAAAAACAAAAAAAAGTGAACTGGTACTTATTTTATACCAGTTCCAAGTGCAAAATTCTGATCCCAGTTCTCTTTAACCCTTCTCGGCAAGACACAAGATCTAAAGAAAAAAAAAGCAAAAATTAGTAACAAGATAAAAAGACTAAAAAAACAAAAAGTAAACTAATACTTATTTTTATACTAGTTTCAGGTTCAAGATCCTAATTCTGGCCCCCATTAACTCTTTCTGGTAAAGCATAAGACCTAAAAAAAACAAGAATTAGTATTAGTAAAAAACAAAAAAACAAAAAAAACAAAAAAAAGTAAACTGGTATTTCTCTTATTAACCCTTTTCAGCAAAGCACAAGATTTAAAAAAAACAAGAATTAGTATTAGTAAAAGATGAAAAAACTAAAAAAAACAAAAAAAAGTGAACTAGTACTTATCTTTGTACTAGTTTCAGATTCAAGATCCTGATCCTGGCCTCTATTAAACCTTCTTGACAAAGTACAAGACCTAAAGAAAACAAAAATTAGTATTAGTAAAAAGCAAAAAACAAAAAAAAAAACAAAAAAAAAAGAACTGATACTTATTATTGTACTAGTTACAAATTTAAGATCCTAATTTTAGCCTCTATTAACCCTTTTTGGTAAAGCACAAAACCTAAAAAAAACAAGAATTAGTATTAGTAAAAGACAAAAAACTGAAAAAAAACAAAAAAAGTAAACTAGTACTTATTTTTATACTAGTTCAGGTTCAAGATCCTGATCTTAGCCTTTATTAACCCTTCTGGTGAAGTACTAGACCTAAAGAAAAAAAGAATTAGTATTAGTAAAAGACAAAAAACTGAAAAAAAACAAAAAAAAGTAAACTGATACTTATCTTTGTATCAGTTTCAAGTTCAAGATTCTGATTTTGGTCTTATTAACTCTTCTTGGTAAAGCACAAGACCTAAAAAAAAAAAAAAAGAATTAGTAATAATACAGAAAAACAAAAAAACAAAAGAAAAAGTGAATTGGTACTTATCTTGGCATCAGTTCTAGGTTCAAAAGGCATTAGTAAAAAAAAATTTAAAAATATAAAAAAGAAAAAAAAAATAATAAACAAAAATTCAAAGATCTTTGAAAGATCATAAAAAAATTTGAAAATCAGAAAAAAAATAAATAAAAAAAAAATAAATAAAAATTGAAAACATAAAAAAGAAAAAAAAATTAATAAATAAAAATCAATTTTCAAAAATATAAAAAAGAAAGAAAAAATAATAAATAAAAATTCGAAAATGTTTGAAAGATCAAAAAAAAATTCAAAGATCAAAAAAAAATATATATATATATATAAATAAAAATTAAAAACATAAAAAAGAAAAAATAATAATAAATAAAAATTCAAAAATCTTTGAAAGATCAAAAAAATTCAAAGATCAAAAAAAAATAAAAAATAAAAAAATAAATAAAAATTCAAATGATCAAAAAAAATAAAAAAGAAAATCAAAGATCAAAAAAAATAAAGATAATAAATAAAAAATTTAATTAAAAAAAAAACAAAAAAACAAACCTATATTGCTACAATGTAGGTTATAAAAGGTTAATAAAATTTTATAGATGTGAAATATTTCAAAAGATTTTGTATAATACAATAATTTCAAAATATATTTTGAAATATTTCAAAATATTTTGCATTTAGCAAAAATTTTAAAATTTATTTTGCGATATTTTGAAATTATTGTGCTATGCAAAATCTTTTAAAATATTTCGCATTTATAAATTTGCTGATAAAAAAAAACCAAAAAGAAAAAAAATATTAAGAAAAAAAAATAAGCTGTATCAGAGTCAAGAAACAAAAGACAACAAACCTTAAAGTTAAGAAAAATAGTCCAAAAAACAACAAATAATAATAATATGAGCAAGAACAAGTTTTAAAAAACTAAACAGAATATTTAACAGATAGCATAACAGAAAAAAAAAGCTTAGTAAAAAGAAAAAACAAACCCAAAGCTCAACTTAAAGAAAAAATAGTAAATACAAAAAACATTCTAATCAAAATTTTAGATAAACTAGAAAAGTTAGAGAAGGCAAGAAGAATAGTAATAGAAGGTCTTGCAAATTATTTCTAAAACTTGCTATAGTTGAATTAAAAGACCAGATATAGAGACAGTTTTCTTTTTACAGAATCAAGAACATAAGCAAAAGGCAATATATATAAAAGTTCTACAAACTGATAATAATAAAATGCTGAAAAAAAAACATAATAGAAAATGAAAAAAAAACATTTATAAAAAGAATTTATACTAGGGACAGTATAAAATTAAATTTGGCAACATATAATATTAATAGTTTTAAAAGTAATAATCAAAAGATGAAAGCATTATATATGTGAACATTAAACAACAATATTAATATATTGGGGTTTGCAAAAACAAACATTATAGCAAAAGAAGAAAAATTTTTAACAAAAGACTGCAATGAGTATAAAAGTTTTTGGCAAGTGCAAACTCAAGCAAAAAAAAAAATTTAGGTATAGAGTTTTTAATTAGCAAGCAATAGAAAAAGCATTTAGACCAAGTGGATAGAATAATTGAATATATGATTTTAGCTAATTTTATTTTTAAATAAACAGAAATCTTAGTTATTATAATATATATATTATTTAACAACAAAAAAAAAAGATTAATTATACAAAAGACACTAATAGAAAAATATATAAAATGCATAGCAAATTTCAAATAGTAGTAATGAATAATTTAAATTGCATAGTAGATACAAAGCTAGATAAATTGCAAAAGTTTAAGCAAAAATCTAAAAAGCAAGACATGCTAACTAAATAAATAGTAAGACAAAAGTTTTAAAATATCTATAAAACAATTAATTCAAAAAAAAAAAATTCACATAATCAGTTAAAAAACAAGAAACAAAAATTGATTATATATGAATTACAAAAGAGTTTGCTAACAGACTTTTATATACAAAAATTAAAACATAGATTTTTGAATAAACAGCAATCATAGAGCAATTATAACAAAAATAGACTTAAATCATCTAATTACAGTATATAGAAAAGCAGAAATCAAAAAAAAAATTACCAAAAAACAGTACTGCAATATGATAAAGCAACAAAAGAAAATTAGGACAGTTATAGAAATAAACTTGAAGCATATTTTAAAAAGAAAATTACATTACTAGAACTGCAGCAGGTTTCAATAAAAGGATTGCCCAATAAAAAAATAAGAGACTAAACAAGTAATAGAACATTATAAGTAATATGATATAGGTAATAACAAAAACAACATTGTCTAAAAAATAAATTCTAAACACAGTAGCAAACAAAAAAAAAAGTAAGAGAATCAAAGCTAAGAAAAACATTATATGATTAGAAAGATGGATTAGTCTAGAAAGAAAGAATATTAAAATAAGATAGTTTAAAAAGAACATAGAAAAACTGAATGAGAAAATTAAATATATAAACTAGCAACATAATGTATATATTGAAAAAGCACAAAAACAATGATCCAAAAAGCTAATATTAGACTTCAAAAGCTGTAACAAATTTTTTATACAAGACAAATATATGAAATTCAAAAGCTTAAAAAAAAAAATTGAAGAAAATATTAAAAAAAGGTGCATAAAAATAAATAAAGAACAAAAAAAAATACTAGTAAGCCTTTTAGACAAACTATATAGCAAAATTCAAATCAATAGGCTGCTTAAAGAAGAAAATAATATAAGAGAATTAATTACAAAACCACTGGAGGTTTTAGAAGAGATGCAAGAGCATTACCAAAACCAGTTTAGACTTAGACAGGTTAAATATAAAATATTTAAGAAGAATTAAAAAAAAATTTACAAGCTAAAAAAGACAATTTAAATAAGCTAATACAAAGAAATAAATCAGAATATCTTAGAAAAAGAGTAAACAGAAATGCTAGCAGAACTAAAGAATAACACAGTATCAAAAATATTAGGAATTATATATATATTAATACAAGCAGCAAAATCCAAAGTTCAAGATCTATTTAGAATATTCACAAAAATTTGCATTAAAACAAAAAAAGTGCTAGCAAAGTGAAAGTTTTACAATAAACCTAATATCAAAAAAACAGATTAGTAGTATAATTTAAATAATGCAAGACCAATTGCATTACTTGAAACCTTCTGTAACTGCATAACCAAAGTTCTAACTAAAAAAAATTAATAAACATGCTTTGCAAAAAAGGTATTTTGAAAGGTTCAAACTTCACAAACCTATCAAAGAACTCAACAAAAGAGTTTGTTCATATTATAAACTAATAATAAAAGATACAAAATATTACAAAGGAAAGATGGTAATCTTAGTATAGTGGTTGGGTTGTTATCCTCCAAGTGGCAGGTTTAAGATTCAAATTTATTTACAATAAAATTTGGAAATTAATCTGTATTATAAAAAACTGTCTCTTGTCGATCAGTTGGATTTAGGTATCTGTAATCTTGGGTACAACCAATCAGGTTTTATTCATCATTGAGAGCTCAAGGCATCTATATGAAGTATAACATTATATGTTACATGTACATAAAGGAATGTTAATAACTGGTGTTACATAAGACTTTAGTGCAAACTCATAATGAGACCACTAGATGTAAAAAATCAAGAAACTGAAAAAACAGAATCCTACTTGGAAATTTCTGAGTAAAGAGGTAACACAAGTCTTTGACAATGCTGTTGGACTGATGAAAAGCCAGAAAACCTAATAAGAAATAAGGCAGATGTAACTGGATAGAAAAATGTATAAAGGAGCATATGACTAATTAGGCTGTCAGAATCATTAAAGAAAAAGGATACCAAAAAGTATACTGTATTAGGCTATCTAGATTGGAAGTCTGTAGAGTTTGTCAGATTCTAAGTTGGATAGTAAAGAGATAAAAAAAAGAAATTGGAAAAATAGGTACTAGGGTTTGGATGAACTTTATAAGAGTAAAAATAATATAATGTAGTAGTTTAACAGATAATCCCTATAACTGCAAGTGTTAGGTAACTATAGTATATTATATAAACTAAGTTAGTATATGTAGATGTAAAGATAAATAAAGTAGTTCTAAGATACTGATGAGTATCAGAAACTTGGATAGGTGTAGTCTTAAGATGTTTTTGTAATACAAGATAGATTGCATATGCAGAGAGTTTAAATAAACAAGACTCCTAGTTGGCTTGCAGATATGGCATCTAGTATAGAACTTATATAGCATAAGCAAACTACTTAAATTAGGCACCAAAAGTGCATATGTGACTAGTTGTAACTTCCTATATAAGAGAGCTTCTGATAGCACCTATGTTTTATAACTTAAATAAAACAGTTACAACTCTAAGATAAGAGACTTTAACTTAAAAATATATATATATATATATATTACAATAAGAAATATAGTAATCTAGTAAAATGAATAGGTTTTCAATTCTCAAGTAGCAGGTCTAAGGTTTAATTTTTATGAATGATAAATTTTGAAAATTATATCTGTGTTATAGTAACTATTTCTTATTAATTAGTTGAATTTAGATATCTGTAATCTTAGATATATCAAGTTAGGTCTCATCTGATATTTGGAGGCTTAAGACATCTATGTGAAGTATAATATTATATGTACTGTATATAAAGAAATTTAAACTAATATTGTATAAGACTTCAGTACAAACCTATGATAAGACTATCAGACATAAAGACTAAGAAATTAAGAAGATAAAAACTTATTTGAAAATCCTAAGTAAAGAAGTAGCATGAATTTTCAATAGTACTATCAAACTATTGAAAGCCTCAAAAGAAATAACTAGGATAGATTGAACAACAATATGTATAGAAAAGCATATACAAATCAGGCCATCAGAAATTGCTAAAGGAAAAAGATTTTAGGATACTATACTTAGTTATCTGGATTAGTAGTCTGAAAAATCTTGTAGATTCAGAGTAAGAGAAAAATGTTAGAAAAAGAAGATATCAGAGTTCTAGTAAATTTTATAAGAATATAGCAATTTAATAGTTAGTCCTAATTGAAGTAATAGTTTAAGCCAAAGCAGTACTAGGTTAACTGTAAATATGAGACACAGAAAGCTCCAATAGGCTTAGTATAAAGTTAAATATAACTTAGTGACTATAGTATATTTGCAGATTAACACTGCAATTAATAGAGTAAAGGTGAATATAAGAACTAGAACATTTAAATAAAGAACTCACAGATAGGTTCTAAATATGGCAACTAGTATAGAATTTTTGAGTAGACTACTTAAAATAGACAATAATTAAAGTTGTATAAGTAGCTAGTTGTATACTCTTTTCATGATTGTCTCTATAGCTGTTATATATAATAGTTATATGCTAATATATTATCAATAAACTCCTAGGTCACAATTACTCATTTTAATATTAAAAAAATATATATATATTACAATAAGAAGCTCTAGTTAATTCTTTAGAATATAAAAAAGATATTTGATTTAGTATTACTTATAACTAAAGTTTTTTAAATTTAAATCAAATCAAATATTAAGTTGATTTAAATTTGGTTAAATCAAATATTTCTTGATTTGATTTAATTTGATCAAATATTTGAATCAAATATTTGAATTTGATTTGATTTTCAAAAAAATTTAAAATTTTAATTAATAAAGAAAAACTTGATTTACAAAAATTTTAATATGTTAATCAATCTTAAGCTCTTAAGTAAAAATGTTTATCTAAACAAAATACTTCTAGTTTTATAAAATAAAAAAGTTGATTATTTTAATAAAATTTTAAATAAATAGCTTATAATGTCGAATGTTCAATTATAAATTTTCAAATCAAATCAAATATTTGTTAAATCAAATTAAATTTAATCATATTTGAATTTGATTTGATTTGAAAATTTCAGATTTGAATTTGATTTGAATTCAAATATTTGATCAAATTAAATCAAATCAAATTGTGAAACCTTTTTCATGATATTAAAACTGGTAATAGAAAGAATTAAATTGCTAAAAACAATAATTAAGCTAATTTTAAACTTGTTTATAAATAAAGAATTTAAAATCATCATATATTGAGAATATACAAAGATATTTTAAATTCAGGATAGAATAGAATAAGATAAAGTTCTGTTACTTCTAGTATAAAAAATATTTTATGATCCATTACTAGAGCAGATACAAAAAGATACTAGTTTAGGATACACAGTATTAATAAAGTTACTATATAACCAAAATCTTAATTATATATTAAAAATAAAATAAAGACAGACTATCATAGCATTTACAGATAATACAACTTGGATTGCAGAAAGCAAAAAGTAAATAAAATAAACAATTGAAATTATAGAAAAGTTTTTCAAATTTAATAATATACAAATAAATAAAAAAATCTAAATTACTAATTATAAATTCAAAAAAAATAAAAGAAAATAAAAAAATCAAACTTAGTAATAAATAGATATATGAAGAAAACAAATATAAAATAACAAGATTTCTAGAAATATTGCTTAATACCAGACTAAAAAAAAACACTAATTAAAACAAAACTAAAATAATTAGTATAATTAACAGTAGAAGAATTAAGAAAAAAGAAAATAACCATAGCACAAGTAGCATATATAAACAATATGTACATAGTATCAAAGTTTAATTATAAGTTACAAGTAACTAAGCTTTTAAAAAAAATAATAAATAATATATAAAGCCCAATTTTGAGATTAGCAAAAAATAAGTTAAAGATAATAAAAACAATTAGAATATGTATAATATTATATAGAAATCTAGACAACTGTAACTTTTTGTAAAATCAATTATTGATTAAACAAATTGCAAACTTATATAATTATTTAAACTCATCAGGTCTAAAGGAAATACTAACCAAAATTCAAATAAGCCAAGAGTTAGCAATAATAAGAGCATCAGAAAATAATTAGCATAAAAATTTACTAAACATATATAATAAGCTTTAAAAAAATAATTTAGTATATCAAGTAATGCTAAAAACAAAAACATACAAATAACTTTTAAATTTAATAATTTAAACAATATTTGTAAATAAAACAAATAAAAAATAACAGAAGTACTTAAAAAAAAGTTTAAAGTACAAATAATATTAGCTTTAGAAAAACTGAACATTTTCTATACAGAATAACTAATTAACAAAACAGGTGATCAAATGATCACTTAACAGCAACTTAAAATATTAAGAAGAAATTTAAACAAAGAAAAAGTATTCAAATAGTTTAAAATAATAAAAAAAGAAATAATAGAAGATATTAAAACAAGAAAAATAAAGTTAATTTTTAGTATACAAATATTAAGCATAAATATTTTAAAGACCAGTTTGGCAAGATTATTTGAAGATGAAAAAAGAAAAGATTAGGTTGTACTAAAATATTCAAAAAAGAAAAGAAAAAAAAATCTTATAATTAGAAAAACTCTTATAAATGCATATAGAAAGATTTTTACAAAATATTAGAATATAGAATATAAGAAAAGCAACCCAAGACCAAATATAAAGATTGTAAAATAAATAAAGAAGAAGAGTCAAATAGATGCAAAAAATGAAATAACAAAACAGAAGTGTTAGAAGTATTGACAAACTTTATAAAAAGAAGAAAAGAAGATTAAAAATTAAAAATCAAAAAAGTGATAATTAATATAAAAAAGAATTGTAAATATAAGAAATTGATGATAAAAAAAATCAAGTTGAAAAAATAATATATTTTATATAAAAAAAAAAGCTAATTCAAAAGCAAAATATAAGCAATAAATTAAAAAAAGAACTAAAGAACAAATTATATAAAAACTGAAATAAAAGGTCATATAAATTTATTTTTTTATATAGATAGCTTATTCAAAAGATCTAATTTAGAAAAAAAAATTAGAGATAACAAAATAAATACTAATTAGATGCAAATAGACAAAGAAGAAAAATAAAATTAATAAAGATTATTTTGAAGTGCAAAACTAATTATTATCAATTAAGTCAGAATTATTAGCAATTTGAAGTGTATTCTTAATTACATCTAGAATAATAGAGTCAAAATATATATAAATAGCATAATAGTAATAGTAAAAATAAATAGAATATTAAAAATTAAGACCAACAAACAATAGTTTAGAGAAAAGAACTATGATATAAAACAAAATATAATAGAGATTAGTTAAAGGACATAGTAATAATAAATGAAATAATTTAGTAGATAGTTTAGTGAAATTAGGTAGTAGTTTAATAAATATAAATAGAATAGTTAAAGAAATACTACAAAGTAGGAATGTTTCAATATATTAAGAAGATAATATAGTAGAAGATTTAATAAGACAATTTTTGAAAAATATTCTTAATCTAAAAATAAGTATAGAATAAAAAATTTTATTAGTTATAAATAAGTTAGAACCAAAATTAATCATTTTTATAAAAAAAATTAAAGATCAGAGTAAGATAAAATGTGCAAGTATAAAAAAGAATAAGTAAATTAAAATACTGATTAAGTGTTTGAATGAAAGATTATTTTTACTAAAGACATTAGTAGAATAATGTTCAGATCTTTATATAAGCTTATATTGTATTCTGTATAATAAAAGAAAAGAGAAAGACCAAAAGTATTTAGCAATATATAACAATCATAAAAGAGGCTAACAAAATATAGAAGAAATCTTAATCAACCTAGTATGGTCAGTGCTAACAAACAAATTATAAAAGAAAATTTAAAGAAATTATTTAAAAAAAAACCAAAGAAGAAAAAAAAGAGAATAGATATAAAATAATCAAGAAATTAATTTATAAAAAAGATACAAACATAATCTAAGAACTAATATAAATATTAACAAAAACAAAAAAATTTTTGCAAAAATTAATAAACATAATATGAAATAATTTTTATGAAAATATATAGAAGAAATAATGTGAAGCAGTTATTGTTTGGAAGAAAAAACTAAGAATAAATCTAAAAAAAAAAAATATGAAAAGCAATCATTTGTAACTATAAGTACATCAAAAGAAATAAGAGTAATAAAGTTAAACAAGCAAAACCTAGTTCAAAAAGATAAGAAAATAAAGAAAAAAAAAGAAGATAATAATAGAATACAAGAGTTATAACTAAAGTCAGTTAGAAATTTTGTTAATAATAATGTAAAACCTTTTTTTATAGTCTTAAAGGCTAGCTTGGTATAACTTTCAGATTTAGATAATTTTTCAACTGATATGACAGATTACCTCTGAGTACTGTTAAAGTAGCTAAAAATATTAAATGTAATTGTATACAAAAATGTATATTAAATACTTGATAAAGATGAATGATAAGACTGCCAAAATTAAAAAAAAATAAAATAAAATAAAATAAAATAGTAAAAAAAAAAACAAAAAAAAAACAAAAAAAACAAAATGAATAGAAAAAGAAACTTGGAAGATAATTAATATATTTGTTACAAAAAGAAAAAGACCTTTTTGATATAACTTTAAATAGTTAGACAAGCAATTTATTTCTAACTAAAATAATGCAACAAGTTGCACTTAGGTATCATTAGATAGTTGAGTAATGCTAGACTTAGATATTGGGAAATTTTATATAATTATATATGTATTTAGTTTCAAGAATCTTAATAAAGTACTAGTGTAACTGCTTAAAGCAAAAAAAAAATATTTAATATTTAAGAACAAAAATAATATATTATTTTTATAAGTACTAAATGCAGACAATACAAATATGAAAACTAATTTTTAGAATAAAAACCATATTTAATAACCTAAACAAAAATCAAAAATAAAATTCTTTTTGCTTTTAACTAACCTTAAAACAGAAGAAAAATTACAATTAAAAAAATTAAAAAAATTAAAAAAATAAATTTTCATTTAAAATTCCTAAAGGAACTACTTTCTTATCTATCTTCAGGTTTTTTTATATGATGCTTAATCTGCTTAACTTTCGTTAAATTCTATATATGTACACCATTAATATTAAAAAAAAATCTATATATGTACAACAGAAATATACAAAAAAAAAAAAAGTTGATTACATATGTATAGTTGAACTATATAGTTAGTAATCAAACCAATCATAGAGCAAGGATTTCCCCTCTACATGCATAAAATACATCGTGTCACCTTGACGTTAATCAAATTTTTTTCATATGTTTCGTTATTTAAAAAGTGCAAATTTACTTCGACCCTTAGCGCCACATGTTTTTAAAACGCGAAGTAATAAACCATTAGTTATATCTTTAATAGAATATAATTTAATTGTGTAAATAATGAATCTTTCTTCGTAATTAGCTTCATGGACTATTATGAGCAAGCCCTTTGCTAGTGCTGCTAATAATTCGCAGAATAGCAATGGAAAAGAAGGTATAATAAGTTGATATAATTTCGATAATAACGTTTGGAATGAGTTTTCAAGCATAGCATAAAAATGGATAATTAGGTCATTGACAGCAGGATGTTAATTCCTTTGATTTATCGAGTAGGATTCGGATCTAAAGCATGGGGGGGTACCTTACTTATTTGTCTCGCAGGGTTTGCCTGGTATCATCTTGATCGCTATCTTACAAAAAATGGAGAGGTATGTTATATTTAACTATGTTCTTGGAAAGTTAATCAATAAATTTTTAATAAAAATTTTAGTATTTTTCTTTTATTCTTACTATTTAGGTGAAACATCCAATTACAGAGGTTTGTGCACCTTCTAACGGAAAAATGAACTATAAAAATTTAAGGATTTCTATCTTGGCAATTTAATAATACTGTATATCGCATAGATTATCGAATCTCTTATGATTCCAGACTCTGAATGGAAACGGATCAATTTACGCAATACTGAAACAGCACATATTTTAGCTAATGACAGGTAACATCCAAGTAATATGTATTATATAATGGATAAATAAATAGGATTAATATCTCATGGAATACAACATTTTTCAACAAATTCAGACTTCTGTTTGCAGAAGCTAAACGGCCCCCAATTCATAGACTTATACATGCAGAGTAACTATATTTCAATTTAGGTTTTTCTTGACCTATATAACAGAAATTTATAACTATGAATACTTTAACTCAATAATAGATGCTTTGAACGAACTAGTCCGTTTCTAATTGAACCTGGAACTGATGTTGATTTATCAGATTTAGTAGTCAAAAATAATTACGATTAATCTGAAAATAAGATTTTTTTAGAATTAGGAGCAATTCAAATTTCTTAAATCATAATTTGATAATATATTAAAATCTATAGTATTTTATTGTTCCTTCTTTATATATTAGATTAATAAATCATTGCCCGCTCTTCATTGATTATTATACCTTTCGACATTTTGCCGTGTAATTATATAAAGTATAAATGCCATAAAAAAAAAAAAAAAGAACTTCAATGTTATAGGATCGTAATACTATAATCAGTAAAGCCGTAAATCTGTGAGCAACAAACACTGCAAAAAGAAGAAAAGGGATTTTTTTTCAGGCTAAATAGGATAATTTTATTAACAAAAACATAGTACAGTATCTTCTGTAGATTTTCGATGCTAGGTCTAATATAATCAGTAATATTCAATAGCTCTAAATAACACGGTACGAGCAAGTAACCAATAAAGATGTTTAGTTGCTGAATTTAAATTTAATTTTATACATGTAATATCGTACCGCTGCGAAATTAAGCACCACCACGTTATTTATATTATCCATAAATAAGCACCCCCACGCTTTAAATTAGTTTTTCTTTCTGCTTTCACATTAACATGTTTTAAGAATTTAAATATTAATTTCAGCTAGTTAAATAATACAATTTACGACTATAATGAATAAAGCTAATCATCGCTAATGTTCATAATTTTAATATCTTCGCTAATATTTACAATGCCATTATCTTCGCTAATATTTACAATGCCATTATCTTTGCTAATATTTATGGTTTCAATATCTTCGCTAAGATCTGTGACTTCAGTACCTTCATCTTCGCTAATATCAATGATTTCTGTATCTTCATCTGTATATTCATTCTTGCCAATATTAATGATAGCAATATCTTTGCTAATATCAATAATTTCAATACCTTTGCTTGTATATTCTTTGTTAGAATTCTTTAATTCATTGTTATTGATATTAGTGTTTCTATCTAACTTATTTGAAATGTTATATTTTATGAAAGATTTAATGATTAATTCATTTGAAATTTGTTTCCATGAACATATTGCCTACCCATATACATTACTTATCTTAGTATGTTGAAGGTTTTCAGTTTTAGTTATTCTATCATCATCTTTTAACATCTAGAGATGACATTTTTTATGAAGATTATCTTTAAATGGTTTATTAACTGCAACATCCAGTGGTTGGCAAATACTGGTTAAACCACTCAGAATTACTACTAAATCAATATCGTTATTTTAAAATTTATCTTTAACAGATCTTTTAAATGTTTGCTAAAAGAATTATATACTATTAACATTAGAATCTCATGTATTTTTATATTACATGTTACTCTGGTTATACTGACATCTGGATATAACGATATCATAGAAAAATCTTTCTATACTGACATTTTTTTTCAAAATTTTAATATAAAATGTCGGTATAACTCACTGTATCGACATTTTGAAAATTTTTACTAATGTCTCAAAAATGTCGATATAACCAGAGTTATGTGTATTATAATATTCAATATATCATAATATTAAACTAGAATCTATTTATTCATTATGTTGAAACCAAGCAATAATACCAGATGAAATTATTTTACCATGTAGTAATTGTTTTCTTTTTAAAAATACAAATAGAAGAAGATTTTGTTTCATTAATATTTATAACAATTACAGTATAATAATTAGTAAAACATATTCATACTATAAATTTAAAAAACAAATCTTATTTGTAGTACACATTAAAACAGCTATAAATTAATTTTTTTCATAATCAGTTTCATAAATATAAATTGTTTTTTCATCTTTATAATTAATTGTAAAGTTTTTAGTTATATCAAACTAGACAGAAATTTTTTTTATAGTTAGAATATTTAATAATTCAAAAAGTTTTTTTTGTTTAAGACAATAATAAAGTTACAAAAATTCTTTAATAATTGCTTGAGTTATAAAATAAGTTTATGTAAAACTTTAGTACATTGTTATCAAGATGGATTATATTTTTTTATAAATGCAAATATTCAATAACTTGATATTTTAAAATTTTTTATTAAATTATTATAAAGATCTATTATATCTAGTTCTTTTAAAATTATAATCATTTTAATATATATAAATTTAGAGATAATATCTAATTTTTGTTTTCTTTATTTTATAATTTAATAATATAGTTTTTTTTTTTAGTTTTAAGATAAAATTTATTTTAATTTGTTTAATACTTTGATTTATTCCAGTTAATTATAATCAATTTACTTGCTTTAATTTAATAACCTACTATACTATAGTTAAGATTAACAAAACTCTTTTTGCTGATCACTAAAACAAAAAAGTTGCAGAAACAAAATTAAAGTTTACAAGAAAACTTGTGTTAAAACAACATTTAAAAGCTTAATAAAACAGAAAAAGCTTCTAAAATAAACTCAACAGGTGTACTAGTAAAAGAAAGAAAGTCAAACAATAAGTAGTAAAATAACAAACTTAATAAACAAGTATTAAAAAATAAAATTTTTAAAAAATAATATAAAGCTAGAATTGCAGATCTGTTTGGAATATGTAAGCATGTAAAGAAACAAACAAACAAACATGTAAAATATAAACAAAACAAACATGTAAGTATTACAAGATGCATATGATTGTAAGCAAACTAAGAAAACTAAGATAAAACATAGCCAAATAATGACACAAATAAATATAAAAGAATTAATGACTTTAAAATTGATAAATAAAAGGGCAAAGGTAAAACTGAAGCTTATAAATAGCAAAGAATTGAAGTAAAAATTATTAAATAGAGACAATCATTTTAGTATAAAAGATATAGTAGTAGCAATAATATAGAAGACAGATCTAATAAAAATAGTAATACTAAAGAAAATATATGAAGTGATAATTAAAATAGATATAAAAGATCTATTAAATATAGAAAAATGAGCAGAAGAATTAAATTGTACAAGCCAACACCTACTAACAGTGCAAACTATAAGAAGCAAAAAAATCAAGTGATACTAAAAGAAGAAATTATTATACTAGAAATGTATATAAAAAAAATAAGAAAAAAACAGAAAAGGTAAATATAGTGATTAACAAGAAAGAACTATGACAGAATACAAATATAGAAAAAAGAAAAAGATAAAAAAGAAGAAAAGACAAAGAAGTTGTAGTTACAGAAACAACAAGTATGATAGTTTATACAACAATAGCAGATAATTATATAGAAGAAGAAAGTAGAATATTAAAAACAAATATAACATAATAAGACTACCAAAACATACTTATAGCAATCAAAAATTAGAAAGAAAATAAAAAAAATAAAAAAGAAAAAATTAATAAAATAAATGATGAAAAGACAAAAGTAATTTTACAGAAGCATTATTAGAACAAAGCATATGGTCATCTGCAAATAAAGATTGTAGTAATAAGAAAATATATATAATAAAAATATTAGCATTCAATATATTAAGCAGCTCATAAAAAAAAAAAACAAAGTTTGTTAACAAATTACTAATATCTAACAAACATATTAAAGATATTAAAGAACTATTTAAAAAAGGCAATGCTTAGATTATAGTTACATTTAACTATAAATACAGTAAAAAAGAAGCAATTAGCAAGATTCAAAGCAAATACAATAATGGTTTAGAATGATTTCAGATACAGAAGAATTAGAGAAAAAAAAAAATAAAAAGGAATTAGAACTAGAACAAAAGAATGAAAAGAAAAATGAAAAGAAAATATAAAGAAGAACAAAAGAGTAGATGACAAAATATATGATCAAGAGAATGCAAATACAAACAAAGAAACTGAAAATACAGTAACACTAACAATATAGAATTTACCAAAAAAGATCTTAGAATACAAAATCAAATACTTTGTAAGAAAAACAGGCAGAGTAGCAGCATGCAAAATTAAGAAGAGCATATACAAAATAATAGCAATAATAAAGATAAAAAAAGAAAAAGAACAAGTGTTTCTATGAGTAATCTTCTTAAGAAATGAAAAATTGGCAAGAATATCAATAAGTAAAAAAAAAAAAAGAAAGAAAAAAGAAATCAATTTACTTTAAGACTAAAAGAGATACCAAAAGAAATTTTAGAATTAATTTTAGTACAAGAACTCAAAGTCAAGAAAGCAATAGTAGTATATATTTTATCAAACAGATAAAGATGACCAAGAAACTACACAATAGTATTATTCAAAAACCAAGCAGACTTAGATATAATAATCAAAAAAATTCTAATACAATAAAGTCTCAATGTACTAGAAAGTTAAACCAAGAAAAATAAATGAAGAGCTTTGTGAAAGTAGCAATAAAACACAAAAAATATAAAAAAAGGAAACAGTAGAAGATACTAGTTCAGAGAAAAAACATATAGGTACAGAAGAGTTTACAAATGAGAATAAATATAATATGAGGTCAAAAGATAAAAGAGATGAATAAAAAAATAGAAACTATCAAAACAAAAAAAGAAACAAGAAAGACTTTAATGCAGTAGTTCAAAAACAAGAAAAATCAAAAAAAGAAACTAAAAGCACAAAGAAGTCATAAAAACAAGCAATCAATATAACAAATATACTAGATCAAATACTAGAAAGATTTGAAAAATTGAAGATAGCAGGAGAAAAGACATAAAAGGCTCAATTTGATTAATCCTAAAGGTGTCTTAGTTGAATTAATAAGAGCAAATAAGAAGCTTAAAAATTTTCTGTAAAGAGAAAATAAAGTATTTGAAAAAAAACAGTAACTTCTTATCAAAAAGAAGAGAAAAGCAAAAAAAAAAAATAAAATAATAATATAGAAATAGCACAAAACTAATTAAAAAAAAAGTAAAAAAAAAAAGAAAAAAAAAATATAGATTGTATATTATAATATCAATAGATTAAAACCAAAAGTTAGAAGCTTGAAAATCTACTTGACTAGACAGAAGAAAAGAAAATTACAATATTGAAGATTATAAAAACAAATCTTGCAGAAAAAGAAAGAAAGTTTTTAATACACAAGACAATAAAAGGATATAATAGATATTGGAATAATGTAGCAAAAGATAAGAAAAAAGGTTCAGATATAGGAGTTCTAATAGATGAACAATAAGCAAAACATGTAAGCATAGTCAAGAAGATAAACAAGTATATAATAAAAATCACATTATACTTTAAGCAATTAGAGTTAATAGTAATAAAGATTTATATATCATTAAATAACAAAGAAGTAGAAAGAAGCATCTAATAAAAATAGTAGAAATTGTCATAATGAAAAATAGACAAACACAAATAATAATTATAGAGACTTTAATCACATAATAAACAATGTTCTAAATAGACAAAACCTATAAACTACAAAAGACTATCAATATTCAATTGAATAAAAAAACAAAACTTCTATAATATATACAGAGAAATGCATCTAACTAAACAAAAATACACATGGTCAAATTCAAAAATTGTACCAAGAATTGACTATATATAGGTATCAGAATAACTAGTTTTAGGCTTACAAAGAGCAGAAATTGAAGACATGAAAGAAATTACTAAAAGTAATTATAAGATAGTAACAGTAAAAATATAAGTAAAACATATGATAACAAAAAGCAACAAGGTAGAATTCAAAAGAAAAAACCAATCAAGTACAATATACCTTTATAATAAGACAAAAGAAAAAGAGTAGAAAAGTTATGCACAAGAGTTACAAATGTAATTAAAAATAAAAAAAGCTTTGAAAAAGATACAAAAAGAAAAACAAGAAGAGAAAAAAAAATACAAAAAGTTAATAATATATGAGATGTGATAAAAGAAGCAATTATAACAACAGCAAACAAATACATATCTAAGAAAAAGTCTACAATACAACAATAAACAGAAGACATAGTCAAAAAGATTAATAACAAAAAAAAATCATTGTAGAGTTCAAAGACTAGTCAAATATGCAAAAACAAAAAAAGATCAGAAAG